GGTTTAGGGTTTAGGGGGCTAGGGTTCAAACGTAGTGAAGGTCATTGAAAGCTGGCTGCTTTTCAGCTCTCCAGTGGACGGCTGTCGCATTTAGGGGTTTAGGTTTTATAGTTCAGGGTTCGGGGCTTTGGGTTTAGGCTTGTCGTGAGTCCAGCAAGATCGAACCCCGCATGCTAATCTGCCCAGTCGCAGCGGTTTCAGGCTTTAGCTCGAAGGATTTTAGATGTATTTTAGGGTTTGGGCTCAAAGCGGGACCCTCACATGTTCGATATCGCTGTAATCGACCTGTGTAACTCTAGTAACCAGAATCGCTCCCACCAACAGAAAACGCTGCTGGCACCAAACAGGCCCTGTAGCATCCAGCCAGGAAGGGCATCAAAGCCGAGAGCGTGGAGGAGCTTGAGAAGGCAGATCTCATGGATTCGGGCTCCTGTGCCTTTCGCGGCCCTACGAAAGGGCCCTAAGTGATTACCGACGCGGTTCCTTAACGGGTTGCTTTATATAGCTATGCCTGCAAAATCCTGCTCTACTTCAAAACCCCTATATTGGACCCATCGCAGTGCAAAGACTGGAGCGCCCAAATATCGTAGGTCCTGAAGTGTAGGATGTTGCTACGACATCGAGCGTTGTTTAGTTTATGGTTGACTGCGCATGCTCGGAAAGTTGTGAAGACGGTAAGCTGCCAGTTAACCTTACTACGGCGAACTTATTTTTGGTTGTGATTAGTATTGCTGTGTGGTTCGTATTGTTATCATTTTGCTATGATATATCGCTGTCATTGTTGTTATTATGACCATTTTGTTATTACGATCATGATGATGGTGATGCTAAACTTTATTATTGCAAGCCCCCCTAAACCCTAAGCCCTAAACCTTTATTGTTGTGGGGCTCAATAACCGCATCTCCTGAACCCGCAACGCGGGCTGCGGGGCCCGAAGTGCCATTTGCAACCGTTTGCAGGCGGAGTCTGGGAGTTACCCTAGACCTTTCTGTTATGTGTCAACGCTTTATCTTCGGTTATGGTAGGTCATACCATATATTATATTTATGTGTGTATATATATATATATATATGATATCATGTAACTATATCATACCATACGATACCATATATCGTATGTCACATACCGTATACCACATACCATATACCATGCATCATATACTCTGTATCGTATAGCAAAAATCATTTGTCATCGATCATATATCATACATCATACATATTGTATCATACCTTGTTGTATCTTATTAGGTGTTCACTGTATTATTGCATAGTTATAGGGTTTAGGTTTTTGGGTTCAGGTGCGAAGTCCTGTACACCATGCCCGGACCCTCAAGAACCTGCCTTCAAAAATCCTAATGCTGATTTCCTTCTAAAAGTCCTGAAAAGGTAGGCCTTGTGAGGTCCAGGAGACCCTAAATAACTTCGATAACGAGCCTCGCCCCTAAACCCTAAACCCTAAACCCTAAACCCTAAACCTCGAGTCCCGCGGCTGGAGTCCGACAGGCCTTGACCTCTGCCATCGAGGGTCAGATGAAGCGCAACGAGACGACCTTGATTGAGGTGGTTCTGAACCAGGACTCGCTGTGCCAGGTTTAGACCTTAAGGCCGTGGTGTATATCATGCAGGACCTTCTTTGCTTGAAAATTTGGGTCAGCAAACATGAGATCAAACTCCAAGCCCGGATGTGCCGAGCACAAGGCATTCAAGGCATTGCATGCTTTCACACAAAGAAAGATATAGGTAGAGACGGAGATTGAAAGAGAGAGTGGGGGCGGCTCTCACAGTGTGGGCGTGCGTGCGCGCGTGCGTGCATGTCTCTGTGTGTGTGTATGTCCAAGTGTGTGTGTGTGTGTGTGTGTTTGCTTGTGTGTGTGTGTTTGTACGTGTGTGTGTGTGTGTGTGTCTGTGCGTGTGAATGCGTTCGTGTGCGCTGCCTGTCCATCTGTCTCTTTGTCTGTCTATCTGTCTGTCTGTCTATCTATCCAGCTGTCTGTCTATCTGTCTGTCCGTCTGTCTGTCTGTCTGTCTGATTGGCTATTTCTCCATCTGTCTATCTTATCCACCTACCACTACCACATGCATGACAACAATAACAATAACAATATCAACAATAATCATAATATTTGGTATTTGGATTGACAATCATCCTAAACCCTAAACCCTAAACCCTAAACCCTCCTAAGCCCAAAGGAGCTCGGGGAGCCGTTCCGCCGGGACGCAATGAAGGCGCCCGTGGAGCCGCTATGACACCGTCAGTCCAAACAAGCGGTGTAGGGTTTCCCAAAGGCTCCATGTACCTTTCTAGTAGATACTTGGGCCTTAGATGGGTCCCTATATAGGTACTCTAAAGCTTAAGTATCTACTATATGGGTACGTGGAGCCTTAGAGTTTCGGGGTTCTTAGAGGGGTCTATGCAGGGTCGAAGCGGTTCAGGATCTAGGGCTTTTTCCTGAGCTTGGTGTTTTGGGGGCTGAAAAGGGGGTTTGGGGATGCCGATTGGTCGTATTACCATGTATTTGACTGTTCTTGTTGTGTGTACTCCTGTAGGACTCTGAACGTTGTCACTAGTGTTGTTACAACTCCTTCTACGGTTATGACCGATGATGGTCACGGTGGCGATGATGGTGATTGTGATGGTGGCGTGGCGGATGGCGATGTTCATGGTTTCGTGATGCGCATGAGGAGGGTTATTGTGGCTACTAGTCCCGCCACTAGTAGCATATCATACCAGAAAGGGTGGGTCAAGAGTCAATACAAGTTGTGGAGTGCGGACTTTATGATTGAGGCTTTCGGATCTTCTGCGGGCTGTGCGAGTTCTCATATCGGGCGACATTTGAGTGTTGAGTGTGTCAAGTGTAGGTTCGATTCGGGTTTCGTTTTGCTCTAAGCCCAGCGCCCAACATCACACTGCCTCAGCACAAGGAACACCTCCGCTGGACGCCTAAACCCTAAGCCCTAAACCACTAAAGCGCCAAACCCCCACCCTTACTTCCCAAAATCCAACCTTTAAACTTTACGGGTTCTTATAGTTTAGTAGTAATCTGAAAGTGTAACCTTAATTTCCCTGGCTTCTTGGGGAAGCAGTGAAGCCCTAAACCCTAAACCCTAAACCCTAAACCCTAAACCCTAAAACCCTAAACCCTAAACCCTAAACCCTAAAAGCCTAAACCCCTACCAGAGGTCACGGCGTGTAGGATTTTGGGGTTGATCGGAACCCTCTGTCCTTGGCCCGGTCGTCTCTAGGGCTTGGGGGGGCCAGGCTGTGTCATGTAGCATTTGAGGCAATTTAGGGTTTAGGGTTTATGGGTTTGGGGGTGTAGGGTTTAGGGTTTAGGGTTTATGGGGTTTGGGGGTTTAGGGTTTAGGGGTTTGGGGGTTCAGGGTTTAGGGGTTTGGGGGTTTAGGGTTCAGGGTTTAGGGGTTTGGGGCTTTAGGGGTTAGGGGTTTAGGGGTTTAGGGGTTTAGGGTTTAGGGATTTAGGGTTTAGGGACTATAGTTTGCACATATTCCCTGCCGTTTTATATATTCAAGGTGTGCATATAGGGGTCATCATCCCAATCATCTTCAAGCACACGGTTAGGGGTTTAGGGTAGGGATCACCCTAGGGTGCTGGGTCAGGGGCCCGAAGCACGGAATGGCCCCCGATGCCTCGGAATAAGGCCAACCCCAAAAACCCTAAACCCTAAACCCTAAACCCTAACCCAACCATGTCCATAGATAGTAGTTTACTCCAGCCAATTCCTTTCACGAGTCCCTGAGCAAACCTGACAGTCGGTACAAGGTTCGGGGTGCAGCGTAGACTTCAGTCTGATAGTCCTTCATGAGTTAATTTCAACCCTAAACCCTAAACCCTAAACCCTAAAATGTGGTTTTAGGGTTCAGGGTTTAGGGGTTTAGGGATGGTTTAGACTCCCGTTTTGCTTCAGCTGGATGTGAAGGATTTCAGAGGGCAGCTGCACTATTCGCTTTAGGGTTTAGTGTTTAGGGTTTAGGGTTTCAGGTCCATGCACAAGGTCTTGCCAGTTATGTTTTTGGCTTCGAGGGTCTTGGGGTTTCGGGTTGGAGGCTTGGGCGATCTCCTTCCCTTGTGAACCTACAGACTCATACTATAGGGGGGCCTGATACAATCAGGGTTTTGGGCTTCTTTATAGTATAAAAACAGTACGGAGCCCGAAGGAATAACATAGGTACCTTAAGAACCCAAAACCCACTTTTTTGTAGGTTCTTATTATAAACCCAAATATGGGGTTTATAGGGACCATACAAACAAGTAGGTTTTGGGTTCTCAAGGTAGTTATTAGAAGAGCTGAGGATTGCCAAGATCCACGCCAGCGACATGGTCGATTGAGCTGCCCTGCGGAAACCTCGAACCGGATTTGCGGCCAGAACTAGCGTGCGGCTCTCAGGGGCTTTAGGGTTTATAGGGTTTAGGGTTTCCGGTTTAGGGTTTAGGGTTTAGGGTTTAGGGTTTAGGGTTTAGGGTTTATAGGGTTTAGGGTTTCCGGTTTAGGGTTTAGGGTTTAGGCTCCTAGAATTGGGTCAGGGCAAGGCTGGATTTGGACAGGTAGAGCCTCCTTACACTGGCGCCAGGCCGAAACCCTGAAGCCCTAAAGCCTCCGATGCCCTAGAGTTGAGATGAAGGCCACTGTTCAGTTTGGGATTCAAGTCCTGACTAATTCAGGAGTATTACGTAGTACCCATTGGCTGGAACACAGCATAAGTTGCGGCTAGCAGGTCTATTCTTACAGTCGAATATACCCTGCATACCCAGATTGAGGTGTGTAGCAAAGGCTATTGCGCTGATGGTAGACCGCGATTTTCAACACTTCGGGCCTGGCAGTCTGTCTTCCCTCCTGTCTAAGCCCTGCATGAACCTTAAACCTCTAGCCTGAACCCTATCAACCCTAAGCCCTGAACTCCCAACCCTAAACCCTAAGCCGTCTAGATGGGATGCCTTTTCCTGCCATGCTCAGCTTATATGCTGAAGAACACGGTGGGGGGGGGGGTAGCAATGTAGGGTTTTTTCTGAGTAGAAGGCTTCTACAAGGGTTTTTATCAGGGTCACCATATACTGGCGAAGAAACAAGCTTACTCCAGCCCCCAAACCTCAATTCCAGCCACTTGCGGCTCAAGCCCCTAAGACCTCATAAAGAAGCCCGGATAACTACAATATTACCGTCAGGGTTCCTTCTTCTAAGAATACTGTAGCAGAGGCCAAAGCCCTATTCGAAGTACTAGGGGCGCTTCATTAAGTGATTCCGTGAGTGTCCTCCCAAGCCCGGGAGGTCGTATTCTTTCGGTTGAGAGCTTACCCTAAACCCTAAACCCTAAACCCTAAACCAAAACCCTAAACCCTAAACCCTAAACCCTAAACCCTAAACCCGGGATTCCCTGAGGGGAGCTGGGCTTCAGGGTTTCGGGTTCAGGGGGATGGTAAACAACCCTAAGCCTAAGCCCTAAACCCGAAGCCCTATAAACCCTATTACTAAACCCTGAGCCCTAAACCCTAAGCCATAAACCCTAAGCCCTAAACCCTAAGCCAGAAGCCCTAAGCCCTAAACCTTAAGCCATGAACCCTAAGCCCTAAACCCTAAGCCCTACACCCTAAGCCCTAAACCCTAAACCGGTGTAGGGGGTTCGGATTCCAGGTCCTCGGCCACCTCCTTAGGCTTCTTGAACGGGTCCAGATGCTAAGCGAGTATTTTGAACACCGACAAGACACGGTTTAGGGTTTAGGGTTTAGGGTTTAGACAAGTTCCTAGGCGGACCCCCAACAACAACAAGATGTTTTGCAAGATCTAGGGGCACTTTGGGATCAGCTTTGGCAGCTTCAGCAGCTGCAGGCTGTAGGCTAATGCCGGTAGTATGTTCAGACCGTCAGCAGCTGAATCCCTGCATGCCAAGTCTAGACCCTACTCTAAACCCTAAACCCTAGACCCTACTCCAGCACATGGACTTGACCACAGATCCGCACCTCACGCCGGAAGCACCTCAGCCTGCAAGCCAGAAACCTCCAAATCCCCGAGGCCCCATCGACCGGAGTTCTCGTGTTGAGGCAGTAGAAAGAACCAGAGAACCCAATACCCCTTAAATAAAGGAATATACCTTGAATCATAATATTAAGGCCTCTATAATTTAAGGTATATGCCTTGATTAAGGGGTATTGGGTTCTCTGGGGATGTAGAAATCGTCGTGAACACATGTCACCCTAGCCTACTGTACCCTACGACACCCGAACTAGGCCTTCAAGCCCTCTGCCCCTGAGGCTTCGGGACAGCTTTTGAGATTTTGAGCTTTTGTCTGCTTCACTGGGCGCGAAGCGTCATGCCTCCAAACTTAAACTCAAAAGTCGGAAGGGGACCCTGAACTGACTATCCCAAACCCTGAATTAACTTTAACGTGCTATATCAGGAGCAACTCCGCAACCTGTCATCATCGCCACGATCACCGTTCTCCTCCTCCTCCTTCTCCTCCTCCTCCTCCTCCTCCTCCCCCGCCTCACCCTCACCCTCACCCTCACGCTCATCACCATCATCACCATCACCATCATCACCATCATCACCGTCATCGTCACCATCATGACCATCATCATCATCATCATCACCATCATCATCATCATTGTCATCGTCATCGCCATCGTCATCGTCATCGTCATCGTCATCGTCATCATCATCATCATCATCATCATCATCATCACCATGTTTCATTGTCGTCATGGTTGTCGTTACCAACAGCAGCAACTTTTCTGATCATCTCGTCTGGGTCAGCGTCATCGTTGTCGTCATCAGGATGGCAACGGTTCTCACCATGGCCCTTTCCGGACATGCTCATCACCATCACGTCGCATTTTTGGTACACGTTGAAGTCGCCTCATTCACAGCAACAGAGAGAAAGAGTGACTGTAACTCTACAGCTCCAGCCATATTCACGACAGCCGCGCTGGCAGCACTAAGAACAAGAGCCCACATGCTAGCAGAGCATCCTTTAGTAGCCTTCGCTGCAACAAACACGAAGCGAGGTTCCGAAACCTGCTCATTTACGGCTTAAGGTTTCTATAATTACTCCGTATTGAAAACCCGTGAGTTCGAGATTCTGCAAGTCAGACGACGCAGGCTTTTGTGTTCTCGGTGGGGAGGGGGTGAGCCGGAATGAGAACTGGCATGACGATCGCGCCCTTTCCAAACAAGGGCCTCTTGGAGCTTTGCGACTCTTTGCTAATGAGGAGACTTGGCATAGTTGTGCCTCAAAATTAGATCGAAGCCTCAGGGCACAACATCGAAACCTAGAGCTCATGTCCCCACCCGCAAATCTACACAGCCCAAAGCTCTACGCTCTTCATCTTCGATCCTCAGACCTCATCATCTCTCAACCGAGGTCCTGCATCCGGGAAGACAGCCCTCCTACCCATCGTTAACCATAGCAAAGGCCCGATATCTTAGAGTATTACCCACCCTAAACCCTAAACCCTAAACCTTATACCCTAAACCCTAAACCCTAAACCCACACTCTGTCCTCTAAACCCGCGCTGGGTTGGGGTGCAGCTTCATCTTGGCCCGGCCTCGAGGGAGGCGACTTCCGTAGGCTGGCCATCGGCTCAGACTCACGCAGCGCACACATCGAAGAGAAAGGGATCAGTGCTCCGGGTAGCGAGGGGTTCTAAGGTATCTCCGTAGGGTTGGAGTTGCAGATACAGGGTCATAGGATCAAGGCTACAGGTTTGGGGTTTCAGGTTTTCGTATTTTGGATTTAGGGTTTAGGGTTTACCTTAACCCCAAATATCTTACCTTTTTAAGGGCTTATATAAAGAATTCATAATAAGGGGCCCTAAAAAGGTAGGTTCTTTAGGGTCAAGGTAGGGATTAGAGGTTTAGGGCTTTGGGTTTTGAGGTTTGCAGCTCTGGGGTTTGAGGGCCTTGGGTTTAGGATTTAAGCTTTCTACGGTTTGGGGTTTGGGGATTGGGCATGGGGCCTGCGTTGTCAACGGTTCTCTTAAAGGGTCGTTTAGGGATTCTTTGTAGGGAGCCGAATACCCTGCATACAAAACTTCCGTATCTTGTCGAAAAAAAAACTCTGCACCCGAAAGCCCCACAACCAGCACCACCAGCAGTGCAAGTAGTGATAGTAGTCGATAGCGAGCTTAGGGATTTGGGGTTGTAGGGTTTGAGAGTTCACCCCTGCAGGAGACCATCGAGAAGATGCGTAACTCGGCAGTGCTTCATCCACCGAGAGGGCTCCGGTCTTGCATGGATCGGTTGTGTTCTTCTACTTAAAGGATCATGGGACTTAGTAAGTAGGGTTATAATTATAAGGTAATTATACTTATAACCCCATTTAAGGGACTTGTAACTTACTACGTCCCAGGATCCTTTAAGTAGGCCCGAGCCCGAACCCAGGGAGACGCGACCCTCACTCCTGGCTACGCTTGTGAAGCAATTTTGGACCGATGTCGGCAGAGCCCACTTCTCTCTCGTTGTGTTGATACTTTGGGGTTTGGGGCGTAGGTTCCTGAGAAGGGGAGTAGCAAGAAGAGTACTTTATTAGTCGGAAGAAGCAGTAGTCAGCAGTAGTCCCCTCTACAGACTCTAGTGAGTCGTGATGATACTTACCGTCGAAGATATCCCCCAAAAACCCGATTCCAATTATCAAGGCCCCTGTTGTTACACCACTTTTAGACTAGGATCCTGAAACACTTCAGGAAACAGTCGCATCCCGTACCTCGAAGCTCGTGAGGTGGGCTCGGGGCTCGAAATCTTGGGGTTCTTAGGGTTCAGGGGTTTAGGGTTCAGGCGTTCATGGGGTTCAGGGTTTTGGGGTTTAGGGTTCAGGGGTTTAGGGTTTAGGCGTTCTTAGGTTTATGGGTTTGGGGGTTTAGGGTTTGGGGTCGAGGGAGGCCTTATGTCGGCCCTGGCATATTGCGAAAGTGTTCAAGAATTTGCCGAAACCTGTAAACCCTAGGCCCGAGGCGTCCCAAGCTGTGTTCGTACAGGCGCGCAAGACTTTATAGGAAGATTCGGGACGGGCGAGGTCTCGAAGCAGTTGCACACCACATCCCGACACCCTAGAACTCTCGCAACTATGACTGTCTAAACCCCCCAGTCCCAAACCAACTGGTTTTGGGTTGTTGGTTTTGGTTGAAACTTTTGCGCTCGCCGGGCTGTCCTGCGCCAGGCTTTCTCAGCTTCAGGTTTTGACTACTTCTTCGTCATGGAGTTGGAGGGTTTAGGGCCATGGGTTTCGGGTTTAGAGCTATTTTCAGGGTCGGGGCCGTAGGGTATCGTTTGGGTTTCGGATTGGGGACCACGTCCATGTTTGAAAGCACCTGAAGTGTCTCATGGTTTTCATCGAGTC